AATCCAATTATACACAGAATGAATTAATCCAATGCACACCGGACTGCAGCATGTTCTAATGCTATTCCATTCGGCAAACCTTCGTGCCGTCGATTCCGTCACCTTATCAGATGAAGTGGGAATTGGCCGAGGTGTGCCGAATGGAGTTTAATCTAAAAATATGATAATGGGTGACGCAACGTGATGTGATGTAGAATTTACATGTTAACATGTATAGTACAAGAACAAATTTTAAATTAATTCATAACAAACGATGTTTTAACAAAACTGTTCAATCTAGCCTATTCCAAAAAGTATGTGCTGTGTGATTGTGGTGTCGAGGGGGGATTAGTAAAATTTAAAAAGGTCCTGTTATGAGCAAAAAATTTATCAAAATCTAATTTACATCATTAATAGAATTCAAACTGGCATATAATGAATTAAGCATGTAAAATAGATATAAGAGGTTCTGAGTTATAGGTCACAGCTGGGAGAATTTCATACTCAATTTGATGAATACATGTAAATTATATAGAATTATTTTTGACTTTTTCCTTGGAAAGCCGCCCAATATGTAGAAGCGTGTATTTAGAGGCAAACACCTTAGTGCGGGTATTACTGTCTCATGACAGCATCTATTTTTTTTTTTTTTGATAACTTAAATTTAAGAATAAATAGGAGCATGACTAATAGAATACGTTTGTCTATTTATAGGCTACGCAACACATTCATCGTTGGATGAAAATGTTGCAGTGATACAATTTGGAACAGAATTAAATATCTGCAATATTTTACGAATAACTATGCTTCCTTGATGCGATTACTAGGTTAGAAAATGTCATTTTTTTTAATCTGCTTAGATGTTTTTGACTTTTCGTCATGATAATTCGGTAATAAAACTTCAATGATTTTTAATTACTTTAATTAAATCTGTTGTAATTTATTAAAATTTACAGATGATTTATCATGTTCTGGGCCGTCGCCAATGATAGAAGGCTTCCTATTAGCCATTCCTGCCTTGGAAAATGGACGTATGTCTCCTTTAAAAATTAATATTGATATTGGTAATTGTTTTATCTAAACAATTAAAAAATCAAACTTATTATTCACAAATGCATTTGATTAATCAAGTGCATGAAATATATGCAGATAACGAACAGTTTTCAAGCTCAAAAGTCCATCAACCAATACAAAATAGGAGCAAAGCAAACACGAACCTCAAAAACATCAGAGGTGGGATCAGGTGTCAAGGAGGAGTGAGCATCTCCCCCCGACCAGCCTTTTCCGCTGTGAACCACCTATCACCATCGTGAAAACACTGTTTTAACAAGGAAATTCTGTTTCGTATTTAGAAAAAATCTAACGTCACAATGAAGAACATTGAGATAACGAACAGTTTTCAATATCAAAGTCCATAAAACAATACAAAAATTGGAGCAGAGCAAACACGGACCTCCAAAACACAGAGGTGGGATCATGGAGAAGTGAACAATGATTTCTTTTTATCCTTTTTTATAGAGCGGTCTACCAAAATCGGTCCCTTTAACTGTAGAGCAAGAGTGATACTTATTTCTGATGGCAAAGCTACTTCCTCGACCGACTCAGACTCAGAATATCGTGTTTCTGAAAATGAAGAAGATCAGGTTACAAAACGATATTTTTTTTCTAAACGTAAATTCAATCAAATATTAAATATAATGATATAAAATATCATTTGATATTCATTTCTTCACACATCTTTTTGATTTTGAATGTTGTTTTTTTTTCAGAATATTCAACTTTTGGATTTAGTAGGCAAGTAGGAATAACAAATCCAATTACGTGCGTACCTGTCGGAAATGATCCAAATATTGTATGTTTATGCTCGGTTTTACAACGCATATCCACAAAACAAACTATTTCTAACTAATAACAAAGATCATATATTAATTGTTTGATTGAAATATGATGATTCAACTTATTTGTATTAGCTCGATTGATATATTAATTATTATAATTGTTAAGAGCTGAGTCGGCAATATTTCATCTATATTTTGGCGATTAAATTAAATGAATATGATCATTTTTTTAAATATACATGTATGGTTTCTCTGGTGGCCCCGAATGAGCATATCATTTTTCGAAAACCAGAGAAACGATCTTTTACGTGGACAAAGGTGTTGTAATCCTTGACACAGGGTATATTAGCTCGAAACAATCTTTATTCATAAAGTGTAAACACTAATATGACATATAAGTCAACACTGTATACTGAACAAATACATAATTCTTATATCATTTATAGTGCCTACTGGGATCTATTGCCTATGCATCTAAAGATGGAAAAATTTAATTATGAAGAAGTCACACAAATTGAAAAATATTCATTAAACATGGTAAAGTAGCCTTAAATCATTCAAATGTTTACTCTGTTTATCTGTTTTTATTTTGCACACGTGGAATTTTGTTTCATTCTATTCCTCACAACATTAATTTTTTTTTTTTTTTTTTTTTTTTTTTTTTTTTTTATAGATTTTATTTCCCAGACCTATGCTATAACAGAAGAATTCCCTACTCAAATATTTATGGCAGTTGCCAGGGATGGGGCCCACAAAACCCCTTAAATACATTTACAAAAATTAATTCTATATCACCTGCGGATATTTTTGATATTGTAAGACAAATAGCGTACATAAGTAATAATAGTTACATTGTTTTTTATAAACAAATAATGTTTATTTTAGAATGTTTTTTATATATCTAAAAAAAAATTTAAAACATTATTATATTAATTTTACAATCAATATAAAAGAGGAGTATATGAATACATTCCCATTGCTGTCTAAAGGGGAATCACATACACTGCTAGTCCTTTGGTTCCCCTTCAGGACACGGGGGGACTGAAACTGCCAGTAGCGGGAATTATTAAACTTATAAAACTAAATTCTAAATGTATTATTGATATACATCTATGTATTTGCATACAAATACAATTTACAGTAATTTTGTAAACTTATCAATAATATCAACATTAAGTGAATAATTAAACATTTAATTACTTTGCACCAAAATACTGTGGATTTTTTATATGATGTAAAATATTATATTCAGTTTCATCAAGTTTTTCTATTCTACAGAACATTTTGTATTTATATATCTTTAATGAATAAAGGAAATAAAATTATTCAAAAAATATGTTTTCTTATTACATTCAAGTAAAAACCAATAATAATGTCTTTTCCCTTAATTTTAATTTTCAACACAGTGGAAGCTATATCCCAGATATATTTAACATTTCTACATTCAAAAATAAGATGTTGCATGTCTTTACAACAGAACAGATAAACACTTATTATTTTTTTTCCCTTTTTCCATAATTTTTACAACAAAAAATTGTTAAATTTTAATTAAATCTGCAATATTTTTATCTACAGCTACTTTAATCTTTTGCTGATAAATAGATTTCCACATTTCTTGATTAACATTGAATGTTTCTCCAAGTAAACGCTGATGTTTTGGCGGAGAAAATTTCTTACTCAAAAGGACATTATAAAAAAAATACATTCTTACTTTCAATCTTACAATAGTTTCCATGAAAATTAAAATACCTTTTGTTCTTTATACAGTTAATTTTTCCAAACCGGCTACCGCCGGGTTTCCCTAAAATTTGGCCGGATTAGACAGAATCCGGATCAGGGAAAAAAGCAGGAAAATATCAATTTCGAAAATTTTCGTTGTTTATTTACAAGTACATCATATACATATCATAAATAAAATCAAATGATGAAATCAATTACTATTTTTGGGGTCTAGAAATTATAAAATAGTCTCACATGACGACTTTTTTTCTTATTTGTTCACGAAGTTTGAAAGTCGGGTGAAAGTTTTCCCCAATCAAAATATACAGGCACGCTAAAATTTGGCCACAAGTATCAAGCGGACCGGGTTTCGCTTTAAAACCTCATTAATGTATTGACAGTAATGCACAATTATTTACGATTTGCTAATTATTATATTGAACTTTTAATTTTATGTAAAAATTTACGTTTCCCCCACAGTGTCATGGCGCCATTTTGAATGCGTTCGATTTTCATCCCGATTTATATTTTGATTTGTAAATCGCTACATATATTTTTGTGTTTATGTTATTATGTGGTAAAAGGAGTTAAAACAAAGTTAATTTTTTTTTAATTGTAATTTAATCATATAATATATTTTTCAAGTGGACTGTGTCACCGCCGCATTTCACCGAGTTCGTCTCATGGCACTAATAATCATGCTAATGTAAACAAAATTTATCACATTCCCCACGAAAGGTGTTAATTGCTTTGAAGTAACTCAGGTGTGGCCGGATTGGGGGGAATAATTACCGTTAATTATGAGCAGTAGGGACCAGTATGGCCGTTCGGAATAAAAATAAAAGTATCCGGACTACACAGAATTTTTTACAATGAATTTGTTAAAGAAGTGCATGGGACTAAAATTTACGGACGGAATGGACAAAAGTCCGGAGTACTCAAGTCCGGTTAGACAAATTTTACTGTTTAATAAATTTAAGTTGTTGATATCCATTTTTTTCTCTAATATATTTAAAAACAGAGTAAATTATTTTATATTCACACAATATATTTGACTTTTTTTGAATTTCTTCTCCTATATTTCCGATAGTTTTTAAAAACCCGCATCTGAAAACAGGTCTTTTACATATTTTATATTTTTAACCCAGTGTTTAAAGAATATCGTTTTCCCCTTTAAAAAAAAAGAGTCTATTATTCCATATTGGTTTTGTAGAATTTCGTTTATATTATCCTTTTTAAGTCAGGAAGTTTTTTACATTGATTAAAATAAATAAAAATTTCTTTATAAAACAATGGGAATTTTTAAATGGGTCAAAGTCGTTTATACCACTGCTGTTGGTTTTTAATTTTTTCAAAATTTACATTATATGTCTCTAATAAATTCTCAAGGGAGAGTGTAAAGAGTTGTGATCAGCATTATTTTAAGGCGTGGTTCCAAGCAGCTTTTAATGCTTAAACTTTGTAAGTACGTAGATATAAGGGGTCCCGCTAGCGCGGAAGATTCTGATTGGCTGGGGAAAATCACATGATTTGATTGGTTGAGGGGAAAGGGGGGTAACTGAGTGCAGTCCTAAACCCCAACTAACCCTACCCCCAACCCTAACCCTAGCCCCTTAACCCTAACTAACCCTAACCCTAACCCCCTAACCCTAACCCTAACTAACCCTAGTCCCCTAACCCTAACTAACCCTAGCCCTAACTAACCCTAACCCTAACTAACCCTAACCCTAACCGTAACCCCCTAACCCTAACTAACCCTAACCCCCTAACTAACCCTAACCTATTCCCCCTTAAATACTGGAGTTGTTTACACTGTTTACATTGGTACGTTGGTACTACGTTTTTTGTTTATGCTGACTATACAGGTAAATGCGCCGTGTGCAAAACATTGCAAGAATGTGATTATGACGTCACGCTTCACAGTCTAGACAGTCCTATAACCGGTTTGAACTGGTTTTACTGAAAACAAAAACACACACAAGACAGATTAGAACACAGATTTTATTCACAATGAAAAATACAAAAATGATTTTAATTTCCACTGTATCTGCCAAATTTTCGGGGGCAATCTGGGGCCCAATGTCCTAACTTTTTGCAGATATAGCATGGATCCATCTGTTTCTTACTCTCCCTGATCCGCCCTGGGTCCCTTCTTCTTTTTCCTGGTCAGTCCTTCCTCCTTTCATTTTACTGATGTAAATTATCAGATGATTCAGCTGGTTTCGAACATCACTCACCTTGTTGTTCATATCATTCATCTTGTTCTCCAGATCAGACAGCATTCCGTCCAGAGTGGTGTTTAAGTGGTTTTCAACATCACTCAACTTGTTATTCATCTTGTTCTCAAAAGCGGACAGCATGTTTTCAATTCCATCCAAAGTGGTGTTTAAGATGCTCATATCTTCTTCTTTATTCATGTCCTCAGGAAAATTAACCATGTCCAAATTCAAATCCAATTCCACTGCATCCTTTATTATCTCTGTCATGGGAGCTCCTACATATCCTTCAGGTGTCACATAATACTGGGAATTTTCTGAAGTATTCATCCTTGCTTTCTTTTTTTCACCTGTGTCCAGTTCGAAGTGCTCACGCAGAATGATCATCAAATTTTACAGTTTTTTAGTTTATATACCTGCTATGAGCCGTGTGCACCTTTTTACCTGGGCTTTATATACCTGTTCCATCATCTATAAAGGAGCCGTGTGCAAAAAACTGAGGGTCGTGTGCAAAAGAAATATACGTTTTACCTGTGTTTTCTTATATACCTGTTTGCACCCTCTATAAAGTGCCGTGTGCAAAAAGTACGATAAACTTACCTATGCATTGTGACGTCATCCACTGTATAAATACAATGTGATTATGACGTCACACTTTTTTCATTTACAGTCTAGACAGCCTATAGTCTAGCCAGCCTAACCAGTTTGAACTGAATTTTTTTACTGAAAGACAATAACAAATAACACACAATACAAAAAACATGTGTGTGTTATGTCTGTCAAGTTATAACACCAGGTCACTTTTTAAAAAAACTTAGAATTTCTTTTTAAATTTTTTAAACTTTTTTTTAAAATTAACTTTAAATTTTTTATCTTTTAACTTTTTTAAAATAACTTTAAATTTTTTTTTTTTTTTATAAATTTTTTTTTTTTTGGGAAACTCCCCTTATAGTTTTTAAGAAATAAAATTTAAAAAAAATCATGTAATACCAGAATCAGAATCAGTTTATTCGCTCAAACCATACAGCATGGTACATGAGGAACATAAAGTATATACAATGTCTATAATGTCGTCAGAGGTACATTAGTATAAATATACACACATATA